CTGATGAAAGTGACAATGTCATTGTTTTAATATAATTTTGTTTACTAATAACAATGAATGAACAATCTCCAGTTCTGACATGAAATGATAAATCCTTGAAAGTTTATTTAATATTCTAATTGATTGTGAGATGAATGTGATCTGAATGTTTTATGGGACCAATCCAGTTTTACAAAAAATCCACCAAGTAACTTTGTTAATTATTGGATAAAATGAAATATACCGGTACCTTCAACTCATCAATAGTAGCCAGTCCATTTGATGTTATACGTTGCCTGAAACCAGTGATTGGATCCCGTGATTGACGTACTTCTTTAATCTCCTCACGTGTACGATAACTTGTACCTGGATCACTCATACTGTGACCTCCGTAGCGATACGTGGCAACTTCAAGCACCATAGGACCCTGCATTAAATATAGGAGAATTTACTAATTTAGCCATATTAGTTTGAATCACGAAAAAAATATGACGTGCACCTATAACCCAAAATGTATGATCAACATATCAACTTTGCTCTAAATTGGCCTAGTCATCTCTGAGAAACAGCTTCGGGCATGTAAAAAATGACTATTTAACGCTTTTACAGAAAATTTTGGCGTCAGTCAGCCATATTGAATCAAATCACAAAAATCATGTTGGTGCAGATGTACATGTATCTCTTGGTATACTATCTTTGTACAAAATTTAAACAGAAACATTCATTGCATTCAAGATAAAGTAGCATGGGTGCCATGAAAAACAAGATGGCCGCCAGTCGGCCATATTTGTTTGAATCACGAAAAAAAAATGATGTGCACCTACAACCCAATACAGTATTCATTCCGCCCAACCTCTCGATTTTACCACTTTTTTCCCGACCGCTTATCGCCTAATTTCCAACCGTTGGCTGCTTTCCGATTTGAAAACAACCGCTTTTTTTCCGCTCCTGCTATGACTGGCTTCAGAAACATCGTCGGCTTGCCAACCGACCGCTGGAGTAACGATGATCGTACATTGTATGTATAAACTTATGTTTTTATTTGTAATAAATTTAGGTTTTAATGACGATTCAAAATACAATGCGTATTGCTTCTCTATATTGGAAAGGGGGACAAATACGCCTTCAAATCGCTTGACACATTGTAACGTTTGCTACGCAAGTCGAACTGTGACCTGTATTTACATATTTACATCCTTGTGTGCGTAGTTCAAGCAGCTATATAACTGGTCAATCGTGATATGTATTGAGTACGGTACTAGTATTTGTGTGTTGTGTTTCTGTGTACGATTTCGACTAAATTTATTACAAATGGCGCTCAAAATAATTTGACACTTTTATTTTTTTCACAGTCTTACTATTCCTGCAGATTGTTATAGGTGCCACGGATTTACAAAACTACAACTTGACCCGTGTTCAACCCAAACCATGCGTGCATGGCAACCGTCACCCTAACACGGTTACTCAACGAATACCGTACTCTACAGTAGACATTTTTAGCTCTCCACCAAAAATTGAATGGTTTTATTTCATATTAGTTGTGTCTGTGTCAGTGTCGTATTTGATTTCACATGTTTGGTTCGATCTTGTTTATGGTGGACATTATTGCTACGCGTATGTATTATTACCAATTTTATATGGCCGTGTGATCCACCGTATTTTTTCAACGGTCGTTCTATAAATTTCTGATTGTATTTATTCTTATTTTAACATCATAAAAACAAAAATGACACACTTGTACATGAAACAGTAGGTAATGAACTGTAAATGCGGGCGGTTGCTCTGTCAGGCGAGCGAGCGAGCGAGCGAGCGATTGCGCGAGCGGCTACTTCCGGATTTGCGCGGTCGAAAAAAAAGCGGAAATTGCGCGGTCGAATTGAACAAAGCGAGCGAAAAAAAAGCGATCGAAATCCGGAAGCGGGCGGGAGGCTGGGCGAAATGAGTACTGTAACTTAGACCACAAGTAGTAGTTGTACTTTGTGACAATACAAATAAGACAAATGGTGATGTTATGAATTTTGAGCATTGATAAAGCATTTGAGAAATAGTGCATAAGAAGTTGAGAGAAATCACCAGACTCCTACCTGGGTTTCATCCAAGCTGGTCTTCTCGGTGTCAGAAAAAGATGAAATGAGATTTAATTGTGAAAAGATAAAAGAAGAAATTATCAAAAGGAAGTAATAAGTCAATGATTAGTGTTACTATGACAACAGTCAAATAACTGTTTTTATGCCATTAAAAATGAATAATACTCTTATTGCAAATTACAGTGCAGTCAATAATGCTGTACAGCAAAAAAGGTGATTAATGCATGCAAAAACATTAAATCTGTTGAATGCCATAATTTTTTACATTTGTATAATTTGTATATTTTTTTATCAAAATGTTTGGAAAAAAATGAACGTTTATCTGTGTGAATTATGGCATTTAACAGTTTAAGCAAAAGTAACTAGCTCCTGGATATGGGTGCAGTGGGTATGAAATTGGTGCTGTGGGATAAAGTGGAAAGGATATGGGTGCAGTGGGAAGGATATGGATGCAATAGGCAGGATATGGGTGCAGTGAGATGTGATGAGCTGGATATGGGTACAGAAGGGTGTAGTGGGCTGTATATGGGTTCAGTTGGATATGGTGTGATGTAAATGGGGTGTAGTGGGACAGAGTGATTCTGTGCAGTGGGAAATACCTTTGCTTTTTGCAGCTGTTCTTTCACTTCATCTGGTTCTACTGCAACTGGTTCTTTCAGCTGGCTTGTTAACTCCTCTTCAGCTTGCTGTAACCATGGCAACACTGCATCCAGAGCATCTTTGTACTTGAGATGTTTATCTAGAAGGTCACTCAGTTTCTGACTCTGCTGGTTTCCTTGCTTTTTCAGTTTGTCGTATCGGTCATTGACGTCCTTCAATGTGTCTTTGATGACAGGTGTTTCTGCATCTTCAACATACTCCTTGTTGAATTCCTTCGGGAGAGCTGATGTGCGATAATCGACCAGATTGGTCTTATATTCCTGTTGGTGACAAATAAAGTTAAACCATGATGTCATATACTTTAATGGACAAAACATGTGTCAACCATGATCACACATATGTACGAAACTGAGAATTAAAATTTCGTTTTATAAAGATAATTTGTACATAACTTATGTGGTTACCATAACAACATAACTCTTAATCACAAATTTAGCTACAATTTCAATTTTCAATATTTTTTTCTGAATACTATATCCCACTATATTTAAATATATTTAAAAACGTACCTTTGTATTTTCTAGATACTTCTGACCACTCATGTTAATGAATTTTAAGTCAGCTTTATGATCAATGACGTCTTCAGTGAATTTTTTAATGTCTTCATTCTGTTTTTTCAAAACATCCAGCTCTTTCCCAGTCTCGTCAACTGCATTTTGTAATTCCTTCTCTTTGTCTGTCAGCCATTTATCAAAAGTGACATGTTCTTGTTCAAACTTTTTCAAGTCGTCAACACCAGATTTCAAAAGCTTGCCTCTTGTTTCAGACAGGACACTGACAACATCATAACGAGCTTTCAAACTCTGGATATCGTCTTCAAGCTTCGCTCTGTCATGGCTGCTCAGTTTATCTCCTTGGGTAACCAATAGTTGTTGTGCAGTCTGTATAGACTGCTGAGTCGGTTTCTGTTGTTCGGTGATGTCCTTCTGTATTGTCTGCACAAGAGAATGGTTGAAAAAAAATCAATTCCCTTACAGATTTTAAAGTCGTTTGTATTTACCATAACAATGTAATATTTTATGCCAAATTATTTTGAATTTCGGAAATTTCTTAATAAATTTGTTAGTACCGTAATAATATTGTTACATTTTCATCGTACCTTATTGTTATCATATTGTTCAGTAAGTGGCTTAGACTCTTCATTCATTGGTTGTTGAGATCCGAGTGTCTTCTCAGTTTGTTTTACCCATTGCAGTATATCATGAATAGCCGTAGCCTGTTTGGTGTATTTCTCTTCAAGAGCAGCCTACAAAAAGAGACAGTACACATAAAACAGAGTTTGCAAACAGACCAAAATCTGATGCAATGCAATGCAAACAAAACATGACACATATGCCATGTTTCTCATAATTTTGTCGACAGCAGGGCAACAAAGATGGCAGAATAAAATCTTACCTTTTCAGCTTTATCAGCTTCCAAGTGTTGCAAAGTGTTCTGTATTTCTTTCAATCTGTCCTTTGATTTATCATCAACATCAGCATAAGTCTTCTGCAAGTCCTCAACAGTCTTTTGTAAACCAGCCTGTTGAATAGGAGTCATCTTATCACGATTCTCTTTCAAGAATCCAGTGGTATCCATGACGACATCCTCCACAGGTTTCTTATGCTCGTCAATGTCATTTTGAACATCCTGAGAAAAAAGGACAAATTATGTCAGGCGAATGATGTATTTATCTGATTATAATTATAGTTAAATCACCAAATCATAGTCAATATCATCAAATCGTAATTTTGTCAATTTTAAACTACCTTTTGCTCATCCAATTGTTTCTTCAAAGGTTCAATTTCAGACTTGATTGGTTGCTGTGACTGCAGTGTTTCTTCCACTGCTTTGACCCATTCTATCATTGGTAGCAATGCACCATTCTTATCGTTCACACCCTGTACTGTCTCAAGCATGGTGTCCAAATCCTGGTCACGGTTTTCCAGTTTGTCACTCAGTTTGTTGTACTTATCTGTCAGATCTGCAATCTGTTTTTGTGGTTCTGTTTGCTCTGTTGATACAAAGAAATCTTACAACATCAGTCACATGGCAATGTATAAATATATAAAGAAAAAATATTAAAATAAGATGTCATGTCATTTAGTATTAATAATTATAATGTTGTATATTCACCATCTAACAGCTCATCACTACTCCCACCATCAGATAGACGTCGCCGGACACCAGAAGCACTTCGTCCTGGTACAGGCTTAGTAGATGCAACTCCGGCTACTTCAACTGATCGCTGTGGCTCAATCTGTACATAATCGTCACCTGGTTTTGTCAGTGAGTCGAGTTGATTGCCAAGTACAGTGACTTCCTCTAGAGTTGGTTTGAAGTCATCAACTTGTTTCTTGATTGGCTATAATTTGAGAATAAAGAATGTACATTACATTACGCATAGAAGGACATTACCAAAATCAGTTTTAAAATAAACTGATTAAGTATAGATATTGGGTACTAAAACATCCACAAAAATGTTTATAGTTCTGTCAACGTTTTGATGGCTAATTGAGTGGGAAAAGTGGGTTTGTCTACACATCAAATTTGTTTGTTGTTGTTGTCTGTTTATTAGTTATTGCTGGCTCAATGTTTGAAGAGTAATAATTAATTATTAACAAGTTGAACATTCACAGTGTACATTGGTATATATAGAGAAGCCTGTATAAATAGAACAGCTTTAAACATGGTTCTGTTCAGTTAAGTTTCACTCAAGTAAAGTTACTCATAAAATGTCTTGCTTGTGTCTTTGCATAATCGTAAAGCGTGGATTAAATGCGTTTTCCCTTTTAGAATCTGAAGGTAACCTCACTAATGTCTCACTCAACTGTTCATCACCTGCTTCTCTATACCATAGAATGGAAATACATTTGATTGATGAGACAATAGAACTTGGATCTTCATTGCATATCACTGTGCATGGTTGCACATCTCATAAATTACACATACTAACCTTAGTCTCTGTAATCTGTTTTTTCAGTGTATCTTCTTCGGCTGCTACAGGCTCCAGTTCATTCAGCTTCTTCTGTACATCATCCAAGAACTTATCAGCATCTTCAACGGCATCGCTAAACTTCTTCTGCGCTTGTTTTCTGTCTTCCAATTGATCTTTTCGCTTCTTGAGCGCTTCTTCCAATGCTTCCCAGTTCTTATCCACGTTGTCTAGAAGTGTTGAAATCATGGCTTTGTTTTCGACCTCTGGCTCGTCTACAAGACCTTTGCCAACATCTTTAATATCCGCATACAGTGGCTTGTAGTTGTCAACATCCTTGGTAATTTCCTATACACAGGAAGATTAACATTTTGTTAAATATATGAACATTTTTTTATTGCAATATAATAATTGCCACACAAAAAATCAAAATTTAAATTAAAAAATTAAAAAGAAGACATACAAGAATCCGAGCATCGAGATCCAGTAGTTCCATATGATAAACTTCTGAAGAGTCAAAGAATGTCAAAGTTGGGAGAAGCCAGTCTTCCAATTGGTCAACTTTCTCCAACAGGTCACTCAGTCTATTCAGCAGACTTTGTAACAAGTCTTCCCTCTCAGTTACGCAACTCAAGACCACGTCATATCGCTTATTCAGATCATCCAATTTAGTCTGTATGTTCTTTGCCTCAGCTAAGTCACTGTTTTGGATCAGCTCCTTGGCAGAGTCATTTACAGACTTCACGCTGGGTTTGTGGCTTTCAACGTCCGAAAGTATTACCTGTAAAAATGGAACAATATTTTGAATCCCTCTCATTGAACAGTTTTAATTGAGAACACTACAGAAGTAATACTAGTAATCTAATAAACCATTGCATTACAAACTCTGGTGACTCAAAATTTGTATCACTTTTTTTTTTTTGCTTTGGAGTGGGCGAACAATTATACACTACACTACTGTGGGTAGAATTTTTAAAACTTTCATGCGACTGAAATCCAATCAAAAAGCCTAAAACAAGGTAGATTAATTAAGTCATCTACCAGTTTGCTATTGAAGACACAGAGCATTAATGGTACCTTGATCTCCTTAAGGTGTGTGATGAGAATTTCTTTCTTGATGACAATCACCACAGTAACACATTTTTTAACTTTTGGTTCAACCTCGTCCAACCATTTCAAGAGTGCGTCCAAACCATCCTGTACTCCCTGGGACTTTGTGAAGGCCGTCTGTAAAACGTTACTTCGTTTCGACACTTGGGATTCCAAGCCATGATATTTGGAATCTGCATTCGTAATAGTCTTCTCAATATCGTCCTTCAACTCTGGTTGTGTGTCACTTAAGTCCTTGCCTGTAGTCTTTAGTTTGTCAACATCTCTTCCACGAGAAACTAAGTCATCATTCAAACCCTAGGCAGAAGAAGAATAAAGCGGTTTGAATAGATCCTTGTATAGTGATTTGTATTATTATGTTCACATAGATTATGGGTGACATACAATGCTTTGGTTGTCAATGTGATGATATCAAAATCTACATACCTTTAGTCTATCAATCTGTCGTTTTACGCCTTGCGGCTCAGCACAGACTGGTTCCTCCACTTGTTGTTTCACTTCCTTCTCTTTCAATTGTAACCATGGCAATACGGCATCCATGGAATCCTGGTACTTGTCATGTTTCCCAACCAGTTCTTGAAGCTTGTCTGAGTGTTGTTTGGTGACAGCTTTCAATTTGTTGTATCGTTCATTCATGGTGTTCAGTCGGTTCTTGATGATGTTGGTGTCCGGTTTCTCGGTAAATTCCTTGGAAATATGTTTAGGTAAGGTTGCACTGCGGAATTCAGCCAAGTCTTTTTTGTAAACCTAAGAAGGAAGCAGATAGGTTAAAATACAAACATATTTAATATTTGATACTTGACCATTCACTGTCCGCATATCTTGAACTAAAAGCGTCAATTTAAATCAAAATAAGTATGGAAATTTAATTTTTAAATTCACTGGTGCTTCCATACCTTGGCATCATCCAGGAATTTGTGACCCCCTGAGTTTAGAATCTTGACATCAGCTTTGTGGTCCATTATTTCTTCATTTAGCGCTTTCACCTTCTTGTCTTGTTTCTTAAGATCATCCAATTCTTTGGCAACATCTCTTGCGAGATCGTTGATAGTTTTCTCAGCTGACGTCAACCAATCCTCGAATGTTGTTCCATCTGTTTCATGCTTTTTCAAGTTATCCACCGCTGGCTTGAGAAGCTTCACCCGTATTTCAGTCTGCACAACAAGAACTTCATAACGTGTCTTCATGGTTGTGATTTTTTCAACAATAATGACCTTGTCCTTCTCTGGGATTTTGTCGGCTTGTTTAGCAAGAAGCTCGTCAACAGACTGCGAGGTGATGAAGATTGGTTGTTGATGAGCGGTGACATCATCCTTGACCTTCTGAGCTGTGTCTTTCTGATTGGTCAGTGGTTCAGATTCTTCGCTCATTGGTTGCTGCGATCCAAGTTTGAGTTCAGTGGCTGTAATCCATCTCAGCAGATCGTCTATCGCAATTGTCTTTTCAGACAAATCTTTTTCAAGTGCAGCCTAGGACAAAATCATGCCATTAGTATTAGCCTTGTATTAACATTATGATTTGGGAGTTTATTTTCAATGCAAATTTCAATGACTGATGCAGACAAGAAAGTTGAGTGTGGTTTGTTATATTCACCACAAATTATTGAGAAAAGGAAAAATAAATAAGTTCCCTTATCTATCAAAAGTTTTAAATCAATTGAAGTATACCAGGCTTTCTAAAATTATGACAAAATCCTGAACAAAAATTTAATTTCGAGCAACAACTAAGATAACACTTACTTGTTCTTCTTTGTCTTTCTGTAATTGGTTCAATAATTTCTGTAATTTTTTTAGTCTATCAGTTGTCTTGTCTGTGATATCATCATAGCCATCTTTCACATTTTCAGACAGGTTCTGTAATTCTTCTCTTTTATCTGGAGTCAATTTGTCCCAGTTTTCACGCAAGAATTGCTCAGTAGATTTCACTGTGTCAGCTATTTCAGGCTTCCCGTGATGTGACATCATCTTGGATATTCTGAAAGGAAAACCATCAAGACATTCTTAAAAATAATATTTTGCATTGACTGGCAACGATCTTGAATTTATCATTTTAATAATAGCAGCCATCTAAAATTATTCATTTTAATTACCATATTTGTTCTATTAAACTGAC